TTGAAATAACTAGGAATCAATGTAACCAAAAAAAATAAAGACATACAAGGGAAACTACAAGCCCCCACTACTGGAAACCAAAAGCAACCTCCACAATTGGTATAACATCCCATGCTCATGGATTGAAAGACTCAACACAGTAAAGATGTCAATCCTACCCAAAGCACTTTATAAGTCTAAAACTATTCTGAGTCAAATACCAACAACCTTCTTGGAAAAACTGACCACCAATTTCATATGGAGTGGGAGGAAGCCCAGAATTAGCAGAGAACTCTTCAAGAAGGACAACGTAGAAGGCCTCGCTCAATCTGATTTTAATACCTATTACACAGCCACAGTGGTCGAAACAACATGGTACTGGCATAATGACAGACACTCAGACTAATGGAAAGAACAGAAAACCCAGAAATAAAACTACCAGCATATAAACAACTGATATTTGATAACCACACCAAATGCATCAAGTGGGAGGCAAATGCCCTCTTTAAAATGTGGTGTGGAAAACAAAGGATAGCCACATGGAGAAAAATGAAGCAAGATGTTGACCTTGCCCCATGCACAAGAACAAACTCAAGGTAGATCACAGGCCTTGAAGAAAATCCCCAAACTCTCAGGACCATCAAGGAAGGCATGGGGACAAACTAATAACCTTGACCCAGGGAATGCATAGGCTAACTGCAATAGGGAAGGATACACGCAAGGTGAACCTGAAATCAACAAGTGGGATTTACTGAAAATAAAACTTCTGTGTGCGTAGAAACACTTCACCAAGAGGATAACTAGGCAACCCACAGGCTTGGATAGGATTTTTAGTAATGACACAACAAAGGGTTTATTACTAAAATCTCCAATACCCTCCTGGCCTGCAAAAAGAGAAAAAGTTAACCCCCCGAGGAAGTGGCAATAGAACTCAAAAGAAGGTTCAGTAATGAGGAGACCCGGATGGCCAATGAACACATCAGAAGGTGCTCCTGATCATTATCCATCAGAGAAATGCAAATTAAAACAACCATGAGATACCATCTAGCACCCTGAGGTTAGCCCAAATCAGAAAATCAGAGAGTAACAAATTTTGGAGGGGATGTGGCACTCCACTGCTGGTGGTTGGGTAGATATGTCCAGACTTTGTGGAAATCCATCTGGTGACATTTATAGAAATGGACATCGACATGACCCAACCATCTCTCTACTGGGCATATATCCCAAAGAGGTCAGAAATAAAACACGACCAGTTGACTGCACTCCAATGTCTATTGTGGTACAATTCACAATTGCAAAGAGTTGGAAACAACCTAAATTTCCATTGATAGTCAAGTGGATTAGTAAACTCTGGCACATACACACCACAGAGTTCTACGCATCACTAAAAGCACATATGATCACATGAAAAACATTGTTTTATGAGAAGAGCTGGAGGAATTTATGCTAAGCAAGGTCAGCCAATCACAAAAGAACAAGTATAAAATGAGTCCCCTGAGGTAAGTATGATCAGCACAGTAGGTGTAGAAAAAAAGACACACATCTCACAATATAGGGGTGGTGGCACAGGCAGTCCAGTGGAGGTCTGACCAAACCCAAGGAGGTACATGTGAATCCAACAAAGAAGGGGAAGGGGGTAAGGAGGACGGAGAAAAGGTGGGGGAGGGGGCCCCCCCGAGAGAAACACATGATGACTTGGGGGCAACAGGGCACTAACCAATAAGGGGGAGAGTATTGGTTATGTCTCCACAGCATTGAGAGTGTGAATACGGACTCCACCATGGTGCCCCAAACCATGAGGGCAATGTAACCATGTGGAGGAATGCATGCAAAGATTGGCCTACATGGCCGACCCCAACCAGAGCCAAACTGACCCCTGTCCTAGAAGTATGTGTGACAGAGAACAATATTAACCTTCAGGTGGGGGACAGGGCCTGACTTGCCATGCCCAGATGGAAGCAAGTCAAGAAGGAAAAAGAGAAAGGGACAATCAGTCCAGACCCCATATTGGCACTCCAAACCCAGAGGATGATGTCCCCGCACGGAGCTGCAAAAGCACAGAGAGGACTGTAAGGCCACCAACAACTCAAAACATGTTGACCCTTACTGGAGGGTACTGCCACAGAGGACAATAATGGGGACAAACGGCTGGGAGATAGTGTGGTTGGAATCCCCTGCAGCGGGGCAAACCAAGAAGGGAGTATAAGTGATCAGCAACTGGAGCAAAGCCAAACCACAAAGTCCCTAAAGAGCCCCCCAAAATAGACTTCAGGCTAGGACAGGCAGCTCCTGGAACTCCCCCAGGACCCTGGGGAAGAGAGTCATAAAGGCCAGTGGACAGAACTGGACCTATATATGGTTTTTTCTCTCTTTTTTTCCCCTTCTGCTTTCCTTTTCTTTTTTTGATCTGTTATTTTCTTATTGTTTGGTCTATGACATTGTTGGTTTGCCTACTTATATAAGGCAGGCATAGGGAGGAAGCTTGGGGAGAAAGCAACAGGGCCAATGGCCCAAGAGGGTCTTGGGGGAAGAAGGTGGCCTGGGGAAGGGTGTGATGAGCAAGCAACACCATAGACAGGGACACAACTGGGGAATTACATCCAACAGCCAGGAAGTTATAGAGATCCTGTGGATATTGGAGCAACAGCAATCTAGCTGAGAGGAAATATTAAGAAGTGGAAGACGAGGGAACAAGTTGGTGGGGCAGGAAGGAAGCAAAAGGAAACAGAGGAAGGCTCTAGGAAGCAAATCTATAGATAGAGGTATAAGCAGAGGTGTGTATTTATGTAAATATATCACGCTATAAAAATAGACGTATTGGCCTATGTACATACATTTTTAAGGAAATAAATACACTGAGGTAGCAGACGGACCTTGGGCCTCAGCTCATACCGTCTCTCAATACAAGAGCACTTTGTTCTAACAAACTAGCATTTGGTGATGACCACTTGCCACCCTCCCCAAACCCCCTCACAATCACTGAAGACAAAATTGGTGAATAAGCAAATGTGGTGAAGAAAGCAGATGGTGCCCGGCTATTAAAAATATAGCATCTGGGGTCTTAATACTTGAGGTTAAATAAGTGGCCATCCAGCAGGGAAGCAACAAGCCCACATTGAAGGAGCACACCAGCCGGTGTGATCATCAGGTGTCACTGGGACCAGGTAACAGGCATCAGAAGATGCAACTAACAAACAAACAACCAAAAACACACTGTTGAGAACAAGAGGGGTCAAATCAGAGACCCAAAGCCCATCTGCAGACATTGGAACATGCCCCCACTGAGGGGTGCAGGGAAGGGATGAGTCAACTAAGTTGCAGAAGAGTACGGATGGATCACATAGCACTCCTCTGGTTCCTTGATGCTTCCTCACCCCATCCCCACAGTCATGACCACAGTGCTGCTTCTCACTCTGGACTGGACTGGAGCATGTACACAGGTATAGATACGAGATACATTTCATGACACACGGAATGCAGGAACAAGAATGTGAATAGCGATACCAAAAGGGTAGGAGGAAGGGGAGAGAAAAGGGGAGGAAGGGGAACCAATGGCAATGATTGGCACATAACCACACACACCCCTCCAGGAACCATGAGGGAGGGGAGACAGCAGACAGTGTGAGATATGAAAATAATAATATGTAACTTATTAAGGGGACACGGGGCAGGGGATGGGGAATAAAAGAAGAGCTGATCCCAAGGATTCAATAGAAAGTAGAAGTCAAAAAAGGAATGATGGTGACATATGTACTAAAAGGCCTGATACAATTGATGTATGGATTATATTAAGAGTTGTAAGAGTCTCCAATCAAATGATCTTTTAATAAAAAAAGTAAGAAAAACAAAACAAAAAATATACTTAATAAATGAGCTAATTAGCATCTAGAAGTATGAGAGAAAAAAATTCTCATTTTTCTTTACAACCGGAGATATAAAAAAGTTGTTTTTGTGTTTCTTTTAACCATAAAAAATTTTATAACCTCTAGGATTAAATGAATATATGAGTAAAAAAATAAAAGAATTTGGTAGAATTCTTCAACACTCGGTTTGGCGGTTGCTTTGCTGTATTAACATGACTCTTTAGTACATATGTGGATATTATCCTATCACAGGGTATATTTCCTTATGTGTTCCATTTCTATTTTGACAACTTCCACTTTACTTAGATTCCTACTTTGTACATTTCAAGTGTCTACTATTCCTAAATGTTCACTGTTTCTTCTCTTTCTGAGACATTCCTATCATCAAATCAAAGTCCTAAAACCTTTACTCAACCACATCATTTTGGTTGATTCAACTTTGAGAAGGCAGCATTTTTAGTAATATTTTGAATGCCTTCTCAACGGAAAGATTCCATTTCTGGCACTATATCGGACAATATTTATCTGCTCCTCATATATATCTAACAATGTTTTGGTTCTATTCATAAGTTTTTCAGCAGCTACTTCCTCTGAAGTGGACAGGCTAGTCCTTTTTTGTTGTCTCTTCTTAGTCTGGAAGTTCTGCTGAAACCTGTTCACCTTGGATAATCTTGCTGGTAATTTAATATGATGATGGAAATAGAGCAAAACCACCTTCCAGCCCCACAGCAACACTCAACCCATCACAGTGTGACAAAATGACAGACAAGTGGTGCCGAGAATGCTTAGGGGGAGAAGAAACCGCCTTTAAAATTGGGGGATTTGGGAAAAACTTTTTTTTTTTAAGAAAAGGAAAATCCCAAGGTATTCTATACTGGAGTACAGTACTAGAGTGAGAGAAACACCCACCTAGACCGAACTTTGAAATTCACTCTGGCTAAATGTTGGCTGCCATTGGGAGGAGCGGTGGGAGCAAAGTTTCCACGGCTTTCCTAGATACTGTTCCTTATTTTTGTACAGTGACACACACAAGGACCCTTTCCCACACACACTAACACTCCCAGGAATAGCAGAGCCTGCCACCTGTGAACAAGGAAGATCAATGCCCCTGGGGGAGACACCCAAAGAGCCTTTCTCCATTAGAGGAAGCTTCCTCACCTTGATCCTCCTGAGAAGGGCAGAAAGGCGTGACTATGTTGCGTGGAGTCTGGTGCAAACCGGAAAGGATCAAAAACCTACAGAGAGAGCAGCAGAGACAGAACAAATAGGGTCAAGGTCTTCCTTCCAATTCATAAGAGGTAGGACTTCCGGAAGTGGGGGTTGAAGAGGTGTTGTTATTAAGAAACCATCCCCTTGCTGTTTCCCAGGGGCTCATACCTCTGGATTGGACCACAGCTTTGGATTGTGATGAAGGGCATGAATGTTCAGTGAGACTGTGATTCCTGTGGGGAAATTAAGAAACAGAGAAAGGACTGATATACCTAAGAGGGGTTGGCCTCGTATTTCAGCCAGTCCAAAGGGTGCGGATACACAGAAGGACTGGGTGCCACAAACCAAGAGAAGCAAGAAAGCAATGGAGGCTGATTGTTTGTAGTAACTCACATGTCAGAGGGAAATAAATATTACTGAATCGTACCTGCAAAGCCACCATTCATGGAAAACCTGCTCATTTTCCAGTTTTTTAAAGGAGGCACATTAGGTTCAGAGAGGTGTTTGACTTTTCTAGCATCACAAAGGTAGGATGCAGCAGAGCTATAATTCAGAGAAGTGAGAGGCAAGCCTACAGATGGATTCTGAACAAGTCCATGGTTTCTTATCTGGTAATCAATTGCTCTCTGCCAGCACCCTGAGGCATCCTGTGTTCATGGACACTGCTTAACCATAGCCCTAGATTTCCCGATCTCTCTCATTCGTCACGGAGCCTCATAAAGAGAAGGCCACATGTACTTCTGTCCTTCTCTGTTCTCTCTTGTGTCCTTCCACTTCTCAGGAAAGTAGGATTTAGAGCTAAAGAGGCCAAATTCTAAAGCAAAAATCTCCTTGTGGAGATCACTCAGTGTATTGAATAACCACCATATTAACCCACATAGATACATCCATAATTCTTAGAGTACTTGGATGATGAAAAATTAAACTAGTTCAGCTAACCAATGGTTAGAGTACTTAGTCCCCCCATAAGGAATGTCTTCCTGTAAGAGCCCCCAATTAAATGATTTATAAAAATATTTTAAAAGAAATGTTTGGTGATTTACTTCTGAAAATCCAATTGTCTATCCCTATGAAATTCAGTTGTATTTGACACACAATGGATCATCATGCCTCAGAATAAACTTGGTGGAAACTGTTGTTTGCGCTTGATATAGCTGCTACATTAGTGTGGTGAAGTTCATACCTTTGGGTAAGGAGCGTCCATCAGGAAAGGTAATGGGCTTGCTGAGAACTCTGCCAATACTTGGCACTGGAGGGTAGATTCGCAGAGCCTCCTTGATGCACATGGTGGTATAGGGCATCTGGCTTAAATGGTCCCTAAGGAGGAGAATCGCAGGCTGAAAAGTATTCAGGTTCTGGGTAGGCCAGTGGCTTCTCCTCTAACAGGGAGGATGAGCTCTCTGATCTCTTCAGCACTCACCATGTGATGGACGAGCCATCCCCCAGGAGGCTCTGAATCTCCTCCCGGCAAGTCTGCTGGTGTTTGGGGTGCATGGCCAGGGCATAGAGGATCCAGGAGATGCCACTGGCTGTGGTGTCATGGCCTTCAAACATGAACGTGTCCACTTCGGCACGAAGGTC